TATATATATATTAAGCAATATGAATACTACCGGAATAAATAAATTGTAAAGAAAAAGGAATGTGTCTTTAGAGTTAAACTTTGTATAGTAGTTGGTTTATCAAACTGCCTCTTACCTATCTCTATTCTCGTATGCATGTTTACTGTCCCTTCATTTTTTTTACTATTTTCCTTTATTTTTTTTATTAATTACAGGTTCTAAAATATTTTCATTTAATTTTCACTAACTGATATTTTTATATTTTCTAGGTTTTTCTCTAAATTGTGATTGCCAATTGAAATGGTTAAAGACATCTCCTCTAAGCAACCATTCCATGGTTCTAAAAAACCTGGAAGGGGTAACTTGCAAGAGACCCCCTCATTTACGAGGAACACCCTTCTCCGATCTATCCGAAGAACATCTCATCTGTTCAAAATAAGAAAAATATATATTATAAATGGGTTTATTAAAATACAATTCAATTTTATATACTTGTAAATACATAATAAATATAAAAAAATAAATTGCTAATGGCAATATAATGATAAGCCACGTTTTCAAACTGTTTAGAAGAACTTTAATTTGTGGTGAAAAACGTCATGCTTTTTACATAAATAAGTGTACGTTTCTGTTTATTGTTCACCGTTTCTGAAAACAATATTAAGGAACAGTTGGATATAAAATGCAAATTTTTAAGAAATTATCACAATATTGCTTTCACGTGAGTTATAAACCATTATTCGTGATTTTAAATTTTTAAGAAACTTAATTGAAAGCTCTAATTTGCATCCATTTCCTTGGGTTTTACTTATAACCTATGTTACTTGTTTACAATTGTATTCATAAATATCCTACACAATGCTCAAATTAATAAAAAATATACACCTGAATAACTTTGAATCTAATGATCAGATTTTAACATTAAGATGCGAATTTTATGGTTCATGTCTGACAATTAGGTCTAATGGTCTCATGGTCAGACCTGAAGCATAAAGATGGTTCAGATTTGACTTTAAATATGGTATTTGATAAGTGCAGGTGATGTAGTAAATCAAAAAATCAGATACAAAAACACACTTTCCCAGAATTAACGTGCATTTTTTAGAGGAATTTTTTGAATCTAGAATATGGAGCTTAAGTCTATCTCTTGACCTATTATGCTTTGATGGTCGCAATTGTTACTGCTATTCAATCTGATTAAAATTTTCTCGCTGTTCTGAAAAGGATAACCACCTAAAACGAGAATATTACATAAAATCACGTTTTTTTTTAGCATAACCACTACAGGTAACATGGTCCGGAGACCGTTGTGGCTATGTAAGAAGCACACCCAGGACGTTATTTATGAAATACCGAGACCAAAAACACAGAAAAACTTGCGCAGATGGGACTTGATTGCAGATTAGACGTTTGTCATCGATTAAAAAGGGTCATACATCGAACAATTAAAATTAAATGAAAAACTTTGTATACTTTTCATTCATTGTAACAAGTCCAATACTTTGAAAATTGAATTTTATTTTAAAATCCGGTCATATGCTTACACTTATCACATATATTAGAAGACTTATCTTAATAATCTATTTGAAACTGAAACGACGGCAAATACGGACAGAGCTCTTATTCCGTCAGAGCAATTACCTTAAGTGAAACATAAAACGGAAAAATTTTCAGAAGTTGTATTGATAAGGATGTAGCGGAAACAGAAACTTCGAGGAGAGCGTAAGGAAATTAATTTACTTCAATTATATTTCAGGATAGATTAAAAAGCACCGGAGAAAATTGAAATAACATCCTTTTCGACTCAAATTTTAAGTATCACTACAATAAAGTTTCTGCTTCATTATTTGTAAAAAGAGTACAAATAATGAAGTAATCAGAGAACAAGTTATAAAAAATAATTGACTTTATGTCTAAGTAACAGCGTTGTTAAATGTAAAATGAAGCCCGCACTTGACAATTTCCAATAATCATAAAACTAGATGCAAAGGCTCATAGACCTTTTCAGATTGAATACAGAAGGATTTAGAAATTAAAAATTGCACTTTAAAGTGATAGTGTTTGCTAAATCAAGAATAAGAAAAGGTTTCAATTTAATGTGTCATAACTTAGCAACAAAGTTTGATATTTGTTCCAGATATCATGCGAATAAAAATGGAAAGAGAAAAGAAAGTGATAAAAAATTTGCTAGTTTTTAAACCTTTTCTTTCATAAGAACAATTTACTTTTCATTTTTAAGAAGAATTATTAAAAAAAGAAACTATTTACTTTATTTAAGAATTTTCAGAAAATTGTTTCTTTACTTTTGGTTACTTTATTTGCAAAGAAATTTTATCAATAAGAAACCATGCTTTAAAAATAATAATTTACTCGAATTGTTAATCACAACTTTAATAAAACAGAGTTAAAAAATTATACTAGATAAAAAATGGATTGCAGATGTGCAAAAACTGTATGAAATTTTAGAAATTTAACGGATTAAAAATCGGTAAAAAATTCCCAGAACGTTATTATTTACTCTCTAAAACAAGAACCAGCTGCTCTCCTGAAACTACTTTTAAAATTTCTCTTTTTTGTGCTTAAAATGTCTCAATCATTATACGAGTAAATAGGTTACAAAAGTTTTTAAAGAGAGAAAAAAAAGTATTTAGAAAGGGAATACGTGCTGCCATCTGCTTATTAGATATCAAACTAAGTTATTGGTAACTTAAAATGAGCAAAATTAATTGAGACAATGGCATTCCAGTTTATTTTACCAAGCAAATTACAGAAGATTATTTCTTATTGAACTTATTATTTTTATTGCATCCCTTTTTAATCAAGATGCGAGCCCCGGATTTCCGGACTCGCGCTTTATTGTAGGTACCCAATACGCAGAATAAAAATTAGTAGTGATGTTTTCAATATTTATAATGAAAATTTAATTAACATTTATTTACTACCTACCTCAATTAGAAACTATTTCAGCTTACAGGCAACTGAACAAGAAATCAACACGAAAATGTTAAAAAAGAACACATGTTTAAAAAAAGCTTATGTTTTACCTTGATGCTATACCTAAACAACTAAATCATATATCTAAATCAAATATTTATTTAACATTTATTTACCACCTATTTCAATTAGATACCATTTCAGCCTGCAGGCAACTCAACAAGAAATCAACACAAAAATGTTAAAAAAGAACACATGTTAAAAAAATTTTACCATGATGCTATACTTTCACAACTAAATCAGAAACATTTTGTGACCATGTTTCTGGACGTTTAACAATGTTTCAAATTATTTAACAACAGTTCTTTTAATATCACTCAGATAATTTTCAATAGCGCAGAAGGGTGTCAATACTCTTTACGACTTATAATTTTTATATATATTTTATACATAATATATAGTTTTATAGCAAATAATGAAATATAACTAACTAATTTGAGTTACGTTACTAAAATGTTTCTGAAACATTTAAGAATTATTTAATTTAAAAGATTTTTAATTAAAATTTTATAAATTTATTTTTTAATTGAAAAAACAATTTTTTAATTAGTTTTTTTCATTTTGTTAAGTAAAATGCAATTTTTAGGAAGGTATGTCATTCAGTAAATTTATACTTTTAGGCATTTTATTAAAGATTTACTTGTTGACCATTTTCAATTGTAAATTCTTAAAACCATACCTGTCAACTTCTCATGCTTTCCACTGAAAGTAACAGTAAAATTTAAGTTTCAGCCTTAAATGTTTAGAAAAAAAATTGGCAACTGTCACTTTCAAAGCATTCTCTGTAAGCATATCATGTTCTTAAGAACCAGTCGAAATTTGAAAACATTTGTTCCCTATATTTTTATATCACTACCACTTTAAAAACTATGGATAGATGGAATTTCCGGTTTGGTGATTGCGTTTGATGCATTTCTAAGCATTCTAAATAATATAAACTGATTGAATCTATATTAATATGGACTACTAATGTTATTGAATCGATTTTTAAACAAGACTCGAAAGTTACACTTCCCGACAGTTACTGTCGAGCTATTAAGAGATCTCCGTCTGGTTGAAAGACTTTTGCTGTGGAAGGAAGAGTAAAATTATTTAGAATTGGGGCGTATTAAGAAATGGCATAAGTATCCCAACCTAAACCAATGCGAAACGGTCAGCCCCTCACCCATATCTTCCCAATCATGCTCACAAGATTTTTTTAATTAATTAACAAAATGTTAATAAAAGTTATTAAATTGGGAATCAGATGAAATTTCGTAGTAATGTGAGTGGGAAAAGGGACCACTCCAAGCAGGTGGAGAAGATAATGATAGTAAAATGATCAACACACATTAAATTGACCAGGTGCATGAAAATGAATAGCAGTTCGGGGGGGGATAAGAGAAGGCCAGGTGAATGATGGTCAGATGATGTCATGAGTGTTATTGTAGTAATGGAGAATAGCTTTTGGGTCTGGTCTTCTACAAGTGGGGTCGTCCGGGTCGTAATTTGAGGTTGACCATACAAAGAGGTTGCCCAGCGCTTTTGAGAAAGTGATTAAAAGCTCTCTTTTTAAAAATATCACTGCGACTGAGCAATGAAATAAGTTTGAAGTTTTTTAAGGTCTGCACATCAATTTAAGCCTCTAAGTTTACATATGTAGGTAAATATTGCGTCCTCTTCACCAGTTGACTCCTCTTATTCGATTTATATTCATTCGTCTCTTTCTTTTGCTCTCTAGAAATTTTTTAAATTTGTTACCCTTATTACCAATTATCATAAGATTTTACTACCAATTTAGTGCAGCATAATCTTCCCGGACTTTTTTATTACATTTAATTCAATTCTAAAGTGAAGGGGCTGAGAACTTTGTGTACAGATTTCAGCATTTAATTTATAACTGGCGTTGAACAGCTGACCCAAAGTTTTGAGTTTAAAACTACATAGTGTTCAACTTCATAGTCTTGTAATTTTGAACCCAACCCACAAGACAACCCTTATGAAAAAATCGAGGTATAAATGAGGTATAAACAAGGTATATTTTAAAGGTATAAAGGAGGTTGTTATTGAAAGACGTCGTTGAGGTTGAAAAGGGTGCAAATGAATACCTCAAAACCAACCTCAAATATACCTTAATATATACCTCCAGAGGTATATATGTTTCAACTTGAGGTGTTTAATTTTACATCTTGGGAGAGGTAGATATTTACTACTTTAAAGTGTTTCATTTTCAACCTTAGGTTATTACTTATCAGCTTGAAGTATATTTATTTACACTTGTGGAAGTATTTATTCAACAACCTAAAGTGTGTCATTTTACACTTCAGGTTATTATAAATCAACCTCAGGTGTATGTTGTTCGACCTCAGGTAATTATTTTTCAACCTCAGGTATCTAATTTTATGCTTGTAGAGGTATATATTTTTCAACCTGAGGCATGTCATTTTACTCTTCAGGTTATTTCAAATCTACCTCAGGTGTAATTTTTGATAGTTGGAAAGGTGATTTTTTACTAACGTAAGGTGTATTATTTTTCACCTCAAATATAAGTTTTTATGCTTGTAAAGGAAATTTTTTTAATCAAACTAAAATATGCCATTTTTCCCTTCAGGTTATATTTTTTTATGCTAATGCTGGTAATTAAATATAATTAAAATGTTTCTCCTTAGACTGCTAATTTTTAACCTAAAATATATATCTTTTCACTTGTAGAGGTATTTATCACTCTGATGGAGTTTTTAATGTTACACATTAGGTGGTAATTACTTATTAACTTTTTACGGTCTGTCTTAATTTTCACTGCTAATCCTGATGCTAAGAAACTATTTTCTAAACACATAGGCGGAATACGGATGAATCTTTCTTTCGAAAGAATTTTCGACTGATTTCCATGTATTGTGTGAAGAAAAGTAAAATGCAATGCAAAGAATATATCTTCCTTTAATTTTGAAATACAACCCATTGGAATGTATTCTTCCTCACACAATTCAAAATAGGAATTTTCACTTAACGCCTTTAATTTATAGTTTGTGAACCTTGTGCTAATTTGCAATTAAATAGTTCATAAAATTTATTAATCTTGAATTAACATGTAGAGTTGAATAATGTTAAGTATGCTGACTCATAAACCTTAAAAGAACATTTCAAATGTTTCTGTAATTTTAATAATTTCAATTAAACTATCGTGAAAAGAGGATACATTTGTTTCAGAAAAATGTGGGAACTCATTTATATAGAACAGATGTTAAAGGCGCTAATTTTTTGTAAAAGCGAAATAACAGCAAATTTAAATAATTTAGCCAGCTTACAAATAAAAACTTTTATTAACAAAAAAAAATTAATTTTTCGTTCAAGAAATCAAAATTCTTGACAATTACTCTGCTTCTTCTGCAAGTTTGCTGTGCTTACGTTATTTGGAGCATTGGAACCTATAAATAAAAAATTTGAATTAGCGAGAGTCATATTTACATTGATAATGACAAATTTTAAAAGATTAGAATAATATTTTAAAGCTTATTTCGTTGCATAAATCACCTTTTATTATTATTTCTATTCAATTTTGAATAAATAAATGGTTTCTTTAGTAACAGCAGATGAATAAGAATAATAATAATGACCTGCAAAACTCTCCTCCCAGTATATTTCAATTCTTTATTTTGACTGTTTAAACATATCACTTAAAAAAGCTAATTTTTCTATAAGATGCATATAAAAACTGCTGTAGAAATAACACGCTTATTGAAATTCTTAATTTTCCAATAATTCAACCGACCATTTTTAATTATGGATTGTTATGCTGATATTTAAATTTTTTTCTCAGCAAATTTTGAATAAATTCAATTACACTGGCCTGCTTGTTTAAATTTTTAGTCCAATTTCGCAAAAGAAATTGTACTAAAACCAATTCTCAATGCTGCTGATTCCGAAAATAATTGTCTATCACGTAAGGTTTTTAAAAACAAAAGGTCATTTTCAACCTTTTATTTAATGTGATCAAGAATCAATCATCTTTTAATAAAAGAATGTAGAACATCAATGTTTTGTGTTTTTCATGCCCCATCGAAATAAAAGCAACATTAAGTTTATATGTTTACTTGCCTGAGGGAATAATTTAAGATAATGCTATAAAATAATGTTTTCAAAAATCAAAGATCATGCAAACTTTATCAGTAATTTTTTAGGTGAAAAGATTTCATTGAATCAAAGGAGAATAATTTACTTGTCTTTTTTCTTTTTGGTGTATATTTAGAGTTACTCCCAGGGGAAGGCTCTCCAGTTACTAGTCTCCACTTCCTCCTAGCTGCAGAGCACGTATTATTGACAGCCTTATTCAAACCTTGAAATTCTGGATGCCATTTACGGAGCAGCTCTGTAAAAGTTGCATGTTCAAGTTGAGTAAAATCAAGTTATATAAAAGTTGCATAGCAAGTTTCATTTGGAAATTTTCAGATGAGATTTTTTTTTAAGAAATTGAAGGAAATTGAAATATATATTTATATAACTTTGATAAGTTACTAATGTTGACAACAAAAATCCAGAGTCAATAATACTTTTAAACTTTTTTAACTACAATATAAGCAGATTAAGTATAGGTTCACCAAAATGATTTTAATATTTAATTGAAATAATAAAATTATTTTTTTGGAATAGCTGTCTCAGTAAATTTGTTTTATACAATATTCTTTGTGGATTAAAGATAAAAACTATTTTATTAGAGCACACTATTTATACGAAAAGTTTTCATGTTCTTTTAGTCTCTTTACGAGTCTTCACGAGTCTTATTAAAAATAAATTGAAAATCATTCCAAAATATTAAACTGCATCATGTTGATCTAGAATAATATTCAAGATTTTGCCTTAGCGGACTAAAAACTAAAATAAAACTAAACACAGTGGCGCGACAGCCCATAGAGGGCCAAGGTCTACTGTGCCCATTTCAGTTTTCTTGACCTTGGGCTCTGGGATGCAGGAGCAGATGTTCCGGTTAGGTGGTCAGCCGAACGCGGAACCCCCAGTGTTTAGTTCCCAAGCATGCTTGGTACTCATTTATCGACCCACTGAAGGGATGAAAGGCTGAGTCAACCTTGCCCGGCCCAAGGATCGAACCCAGGACCTGTGGCACGGAAGAGCGGGGCGTTGCCTTAGTGGACTAAACGGACAAAAAGTTTGAATTTTGCATGAGAATTTTTTAAGTGGATGCCAGTTTTCCTTTACCTATAGTTGCCTTTTTGCTAACTAACTTCAGATATTATTTAATAGGTGATACACATACAAATACTTTTAAGATACTCAACTAAACCAAGCTTATGTATAAAAGGGCAAGTAAACTTAAACTAGGCTGCATTAATTTCTTCGTAAAAATTTTAGTAACTTGTACTTGTCAGAATTCAATATGCTGTTGCTGGAATTATTATGGTGTTATTGAAGAAATGATTTCTGGTGAAAAGATGCGTTCTCTTAATCTTAATTTTAATGTTGAACTAAGCCATATTACACAAGTAACTAATTCTGGCAACTTTAACTTAATTCCTGTGACAAATATATCTTCTGTTTCTATTTCCATCCAGTGCGATGACACTGGGAAAATTTATTTTGCTAATGTGGTGAACAATCTAGAATTAGAATAACTTTTTTCTCTCTAGAGTAAAGTGACCACATTTTTATTGAGACAAATCGGGACAAATGGGATGAAATGAGAATTACAATTTAGTCAAACTTTCAACACGCACAATATATATATAAAAATACGAATAAATGTTTGCAAAAATATTTTCAACATCAACTGGAAGTAAGTCAGATGCTGTTTGAATAGTATAGGTATAGAATGTGCGCTGCACAACCTACTCCAATATTTTTTTGCTTCAAATGTTCGTTAAGTTTCGTAAAAACGTTATTGATGCCTCTTCTAGCTTTTCCACCAAAATTTACGTTAGTGTTAGCCGCACAGTGGGCAATAATTTTATTGTTTAAATAATTTTTTTTAAAAATACAGTTGACTCGCGTTATAACGACCCCATCGGGACTGCCCCAATCTGGTCGTTATATCAAATGGTCGCTATATCAAAATGAGCAAATTTCCTTTGAAAATCGGTCGCATAATGGTTTTAAATGTCATAATGCATGCATATACTATTTGTGGTATACATGTTATAAACTAAAGAAGGATAGGATGCATACATTAATAAAACATAATGACATTTTAACAATTGAATTACAACTGTTAACAATTAAGAATTTTATTTTAAAGTGCAGACTAAAAAACATAGTATGACTAAAAAAAAATCTAGTTTCTAATGAATTAATTTTTTGATGTACATAATTTGCGGTATATATAACGAATTTTTTTTTATGTACATAATCTGCAGTATTATAAAGAAGAGTAAACCGAGGAACATAAACGAGACTTCATCAGACGAAGACATTAATTTTTTGATGTGCATTAATCTGTTGAAGTTACATATTAAGAAGACTTAACATATGTGTGCTTGTTCAAGGTCAACCATTTAACCCCACTTTCCAATAGGAAGTTAGAAAAGAGCGGTGTTCAAATTCAGAGAGGGTCGTTATATTAGGAGTTGACCTTTTTTACGGTCGGTATAGCAAGAGTAAAATAACGTTATCTTTTATGGATGTGAATTGGGACTCCTTCACAGGGTCGTTATATCATGTTGGTCTTTCTATCACAGGGTCGTTATAACACGAGTCGACTGTAGTACTTATTAAATCAAAAATTATTTGTGAAGTTTCATCAGGCAATGAAACAAAATCTAATTTCAATTCCTGTTTCTGGATCAAAAAATCTAACAATTGTGGGAAATAATTTTAAATCTTTGTGGTTGGAAGCATCAGAATTCATGGATATAAATGCGCATTTTTCTAATTCTTTCTGCAATTGTGAAAACGAATATGGTCAAAAAACATTACAAATAATTGCTTCGGTTTTTGTCCTTGCACATGCATATTTTTTGTCGTACAATCCATTGATCTGAAACTTTGATTGTGGTTTATAGTGCGGAAAGCAAATAGCCCTTCTGCTAATGCTAGCTGTTTTTCCGTGTTGCTAAAGCTAACACTAAACTAAAGCTAACACTAACTAAGCTAAAGCTAAAACTGTTCCATTTTAGATGAGGAAGCGGTATTATTAGAAAATCTTTTGTGCCTCTTTGTCGCTAGATGTTTAGTAATATCGTTTTTTCCACCATGTGAGACCGAAAATTCAGCATTGCGTTTATCACACCGTACCATATAGTCCATTTTGTTACTTTTATTAAATGGAAATTCTCTGCTTAGCTCTTCATTAAATTTGCATCCTCTTTTATTTACTCGTCTTTTATTTTGTGGGTCAATACTAGAAATAAATAAAAAATTTACTACAAAGGCTAAAAAAGAGTATTAAATTTTACCTTATTGACCGTTACTTTGTGGCGACTATTGCTCAACCTTAGTCAATCAAATAATGAGTCAAACCGAACGTCAAATTGAAAACAACAAACCGCACTGTCTAACGGCAGTCCGCACTTATCTCAATTAAGCCGAGACGTAAAGACAATGATTCGCACACCACCGAGTAAATCTAACTTGGTACACTGCCTAATTTAGTTTACTCTGCACGCATTTTATGTATTTTTTATTTCTTTATATTCACCATAATACTTAATAAATAATAGGAATATATTTTTACAGTACATTTAAAATAAGAAATGCAGATATTTTCTAAAAAGCGGGACATTTTTAAAAATCGGCGGGACGCGGGACAGTCCACCAAAAAGCGGGACTGTCCCGCCAAAATCGGGACGTGTGGTCACTTTA